AAACTTTTCCTATTTTTTTTTTCTAAACCAGCTAACAAGTAGCAAATTCTTGGTGTGCTTGTTGTATAAATCTGGACCAGGAAAGGGTTAGGGCTAGGGTAAGCATAGATACTTAGTATAACCTGGATTGGAGTCCAGGCGCGCAGGTTTGAAGGAAGAGAGATGTGGTTCAGGGAACTACTGTGGGTAGACTTGGAGGAGGGACTTGAGGCTTCTGTCCCCAGGCATCTCAGTTTGGGCTGCTTTCCTGAGTGTTTGTCTCTGTGGCTCTTGCTCTGCAGGCTCTGGTTTTGCCAGCTTGGGGCACTCAGTTGTAAGCACTTGTCAGATGCTCTGCTCCAGAACAAGGGTTTGACACATCTGAATCTGAGCAAGAACCACCTGGGAGATGAGGGAGTGAAATTTCTGTGTGAGGCCTTGTGTCGTCCGGATTGCAGTCTGCAGAACCTGGAGTAAGTTTTGTTGGCTCTCTTGTATAGTGGATGGGAGGAAAGCAGTGGGAATTGTCCTATGAATGCCTGAGTTCCTGATGGGGTTTGAGTGAATCCTGGGTGTGGACATGATTTTTACCACAGAGGAGCTTTGGTTTTGTTGGGGGTGTAGGTATAAGGGGTGGTGCTTATGGGGAAAAAATTGGGTGACTATTAAGGACCAAGTACAATGTGTGTATGTGTGGGTATGGGAGGATCTTCAAAACCACCCCCTGGGTTTGACAATTTACTAGGAGTACTCACAGGACTCAGCTTATAGTCATGGCTATGGTTTTTCTTGGTGAAAAACACAAAGAAAACCAGCAAGAGAAAAGGTACATGGGACAAAGTCCACAGGAATTCTCTCCCAGTGGAATCACACAGAACATAAAATTCCTCCATCAACTAGTTGTGAGAATACATGCAAAGTGTTGTCTACAAGGGCAGCTAATTAGAGACACAGCACTCAGAGGTTTTATTGGATGCTGGTCATGTAGGCACCTTCTGCCTAGCATGTCCCAAAGGTTCCAGACTTGTAGAAGGAAAGCAGGTGCTTAGCATAAACCATTTTGTTTGCACAGTGAGCCATTCTTATCAGAGAATGGTGGGAAATCTGAAATCCAAGTTCCCAGATACTAGTCAAGGGCTAACCTTGCAAGCAGACAAGATTATCTAAAGATAGCTCCTTTCTGCACAATATGTTATCCCATGTCTGATATGAAATAGAAGTCAGAAATGAGCTCTAAATCTCCCTAGTTAGACAGTCACAGTAAAAATGATTTTGTCTATAATTTATGTCTATGCACTTTTTAGAACACATAGGCCATGCCAGAGTCTTGAAAAGATATGAAATAGGGGTATAGGTAGTAGTACTAGAATATTAAAATAATCACAGGTGTAAGGTGCTAAGAAATTTGGAAACCTTTGTTATATAGTATTATTATTATTACTTGTTTTTACTAATTTTAACAATGTTGGAAATATTTTGATGGCCCAAAATGTAGCCCGTCTATAATTAAACTTAGACAGACTCGACATTTTTGCATTGATAACAGGAAAGTAAATTCACAGGATTAAAGGTTTCTGTGCTGTCCAAATATAGTACCCACTTGCCAGATGTGGCTGAATTAGAATTGAGTATAATCAAAAATTTAATTTCTCAGTTGCACTAGCTGCATTTCAAGTGCTCAGTAGTCACATGTGGCTAGTGGATATGGTAGTGGATGTCACAGCTATAGAACATTTCCATCATCACGGAAAGTTCTGTTGGATTTTGTTGATTCAAAGGACAAAGTCCACTCCTGCCAATGTTGCCCAGCTATCTAGTTCTCCTTCCTGGAGGCTACCAGTGGTTTAAGTCTTTTTCTGTAAATCCTTCAGGAGGTCTTCTGTGCATGCATAAGTGAGTGTGTATGTTTTTTTTTCTCTCTCTCAGCATTTATTACCATGAAACATGTACCCCAAACAACATATCTGAGAATGTTATACATCAGTACATAAAAGCTTTTATTCTATTATGACTACGTACTCATTCGTCAAATGGATATGCTATTTGTGTAATGAGTACTCTGGTTGTTTCTAATCTTTTGACAAAGTGATAAAAGTTATGCCATGTATCTGTGTTCCTGTATCACTTCAGACATGTGTAAATATACCTGCAGTATAAGTTCTTAGAAATAGAATGGATGGGTCAAAGGGTATTTGCAATAAAAATTTTAACACATGTGGCCCAGTTACTCTCCATGGAGGTTGTACCAACTAACACTCCCACAAGCCTCTCTCTCCCTGCTCCTCTTCCCCGTAGTTTCCTCCCCTGTCTCCCCCTCTTCTCTCTCCTGTTCCCTCCTCATCCCTTCCTCTTTATCCCATTCTCTCTCTAAATATTTACTTGAATTAATCATTTTGAACTTATTTTGGTATAATAATTTATCCTTGGAAATTTAGACCTGCCCTTAGGTGAGATTCCTCGGTCTTTTCAGCTCAACTGTTGAGCTCAAAGACTGAAAAACATGTACGTTGATAGCCAAGTAGAGTCTGGATACTGTGGTGGTAAATATCACAGAAAGAAGCTCCTCACACTAAAAATCCTGGATGGGATGACAAGGGGAGGTGGCTGTATTGCTGTTGTTTCTGCTTGCTTTCTATCACAGGTAGAGCACCTTGGGGTGTCTTGGCCCCTCCTAACTTGTACCCACCTCATTCTAGGGCTTGGAATAAGAAGTCTGGTTTGGGCGTCTCTCCTTTCCTTGGAAGAAAGTGAGATGGGCTGGAGCGCATAGAGTGAAGCATAAGGACTCAAGGATTATTTCGTCCTCTTTTGTATGTTTTTATTTTGCAGCTTGTCAGATTGTTCTTTCACAACAGTGGGCTGCCAGGAGCTTGCTAAAGCCCTGGAGCATAATCATAATGTGCAAATTTTGGATATTGGGAGAAATGATCTTCAGGATGACGGCATAAAACAACTGTGTGAGGCACTGAAACATCCTAGTTGTGTGTTGAACACACTTGGGTGAGTCCATGCTGTCTTTGCAGGAATTCTCCTCTCTTTACTCTTGAGATGGAGGGAAGATAATGACAGGGTCACACAGTGGGGGGGGGGGTAGAAAGTGAGAAATGATAAAAACATAGTTTTCCTTTTAAAAATCTCTCCTAAATGATAAGCTCTAAGTTGAGAGAAAGCATTTTAATCTTGTTCTCAGTGCATTGCAAATCTTTCTTTTAATCAGCACACTTTGGATTCTAGGTGCTGGGGGGATGCAGCCTACTCCCTGCACTCTGAATCTTTGCTTCTCAGGGGAAGACTGACTTTAACCATAACGTAATGTGTGCTCAGCAGGCTGAGATGGTTTGGCCTCAAGTCAGAGAATTTTTGTCTAAATGTGGCTTAAATGATAGCCATTTCTCACGTAAGTAACGGTTCTAGGGTTGGTTAATTCAATAACTCTGTTGTGTTTTCAGAAAGGGTATTTGTCAGAATCTGTTAAAAGATGTTAAATAAACCCACTGAAATCATATGAAACCTCCAGTATTGTTGGGGTGAACCAACCATCTCTAACCTCTACTCAGTGATTTTTAAGTTTACTATATAAACACCAAGAATTTGATTGTTGGTTAAAATATCAAGGAACTGAACTTGTTCTCTCACAGGCCTTTTTATAAAAAAAGACATAAATAAGTTAATGTTATCTACAGTGCTGAATTTAAGGGAGTTTCAGGAAGTTCATCTTTACTACCTTCCCTCCCCGCCATCAGATAATGAAGCAACGTACTGGAGATAAATGGACTATATTTCTTTAAAACAGAGATTCACTCTGCCTTTTTTTTCCCTCTGAAAGAGAGCTTTATGTGTTCATACAAATAAAGAAGCTAATGTGCACCAGCAGTGCAAGCATGAATGGATGACAATGGAAAATAGGTTTGGTGCTTGAAGGGGTGCTAATGTTGGGTACCACAACCAGAGAACCTGCACACCACAGTACAACACACACAACACTCTCGAGTCTTTCTCACAGACTGCCCAGGAGGTTATTGAAGATTTCACTGAGGAGTTTAGGTTTTGAGATGAACCTTGAAACAGAGCCCCTACCTCTAATCCCTGCAGTAGCAGGGAGGGAAATAAAGTACTTGTCAGAGAGGAACAGTATATATAAGGAGTTAGAGATAGGTTTTGTGGGGGAAAAGTGAAGAACATGTGGTTGGAATAGAGTGATGGGTCTGGAAAATGGGGATACAACTAGGTTTAAAAATAAATTCTGTAGGTCAGGCTACAGTTTAAGTGCTTACCATGTATTTGGAAATGGGAAACACATGGCAATCATCACTTCATTTTCCAGTAGGGAGCTACTAGGAGGGAGCAGGTGCTGTTATACCCTTTTACAGATGGGGAGACTGATGCAAGGGGATCACTTAGCTAAATAAGGATGCGGACAAGCACCCAGTCCAAGTATGATTCAGACACTAGTTCTTTTCACCAGTTCTCTATCCCTTAAGAAATATCTTTAGTTTATTTTTCCTTTGGTTGCTTGTGCTTTTGGGGTCCAAATGTCCATCATCAGATGAATGGATATGGAAACTGTGGCACATCTACACAATGGAATTCTACTCTGCTATAAAAAAGGATGAAATACTACCATTCGCAGCAACATGGATGAACTTAGAAAAATTATATTAAGTGAAATAAGAAAGAGAAACACCACCTGTTCTCACTTATTTGTGGGAGCTAAAAGTAAATAAATACACAACAAATTGGAGTTCATGGGGAAGAAGACACAACAATCACAATTCCTTGAACTTGTTAAGACAAGTGAACAGATATGACGTTGATGAGTGGGAGGGGAGAGAAGGAGGGGGGAGGGAGAAATTGGTAAAGGGACACAAAAATCAACTACATTGTACATTGATAAGATAACATTTAAAAAAATGAAGATAACCACTGGTATTTAAAAAAAAAAAGAAATATCTTTAGGTGTTCTATGTTTTTTTACCCTGTAGGCAAGAGAGAAACCACCAGATTTATGTGAGTAAATTAGGGTCATAGTCATGCTTTTGAAAAGGGTGATGGTTGGTTTTAAACCTTCACTCTCTAGGTGCTTCCACTCAGAAGAAGAAATGAGTAAAACTTTTGCAACAACTATTGCATTGTCTTTAATGACGAATCCCTTCCTGATATTCAGTTCACTTACATCTACTCTCATTCTCCAATGCTGCAGCTCTTAAAGGAGGTACATGCACCTATATATGTGAATATACGTCTTCTGGATGTCATATACAGAGGATTCCATCTTTACTTTCTAGACCAAGGTTTCTCAACCTCAGCACTATTAACATTGTGGGATGGATCATTCTGTGTTGTGGGGGCTGTTCTCTGTAGGATGTTGAGCAGCGTCCCTGGCCTCCACCCAGTAGATGCCATCAGTACATCTTCAGTCTCCTGACATTGCCACATCTCCCATGTGGTGCAAAAGTCACCCTTGATTAAGAAACATTGGTCTAGAAAATTCAATGTGTACTATTAAAGGTACAAGGTCAAGGTTAACAATACATAATACAGTGGTAAAACCTGGCTGATGGCATTATATCTGAGATATCAGAATATACCTGTTTTGTATCTGAGCACATGTTTTTCTCATGTTATGTTCTCTGTCCATCAAGTGGTGCCTCTACCTTGAAGGATTCCCTGGATCCCAACCAACCTCCTCAAACTGAGGAAATGTATTCCTTCCCTCTACTCTTCATGCATCAGATTTTGCACATATGCCTACATGCCATATTTCTCCATAGACTGAGGTGGTTATTTCCACTGTGTTAAACAGATCTGATGCACTTTGTCATTTTCATCTTTCTATTCCTAGTAGGCAGCCAACCCATATGTCCTAATTTTGCATTGTTGAATTTAGAAATGGGATGATAAAAAGTGTAAATAGGGGTAGTTGTGCTATTTCAGTCTTTCCAAAGACCTTTTAAGTAAACTTGCATCCTTTTTACACTAAAATGGTTTCTTTCATGTTCTGGCAGGTTAAACTTTTGTTTCCTCATCTGTCAAATAGGGGTTAAAATAGT